ACCAAAACATCACCTACATTGTTGCGGATGAGGAAACGATGGTAAGATCATAAGCGCTTAGTTGAATAAATGCGAGACTTTCTATTATATCATAACCCACTACTATCGATGTAGAGCTGTTGTAAGACATGGTAGTTTATATTTTGCTTTATACATGATGCGACAACCTTTTCACCGCGCATCGCGCGCCCACTTTTTTTTGCGGCACCGCTTATCAATGACATTGTCTGCATATACATTGCGGTAAAAAATGTTGCCAAATACTTCGGTTGAAGTAGACTAACCTTTCCTACAACTCTTAAGGTCATCAGATACTGTAAGTAGTAACCAGTTGGGTAATGTTGCTATATATTGACTGTCAAAAGATTTCGTTGACATTGTTCTCTTTTGAAATCTATGTACCATCACATGATAAGACATACTTCTTCACCGTATTTCAGCAAAGATAACGGCCACTTATCATTAATATTAGCTTTTGTAAATGTCTACAATACGCTTTTACTGGTATACTTTTGCACATCTTCACCATTGATTTAGAGCTTCCATCAACTGTGCAACAACCGGTACTAAGATCGCGTCAAAGAGCTAATCATTTTATCGGATAAGTTTCAGGTTCTAACACCAGGAATGTTATGAGATTGCGATTTACAGCGCAAGGCGGTGCTTAGCAGGCCATGGTGTTACTGTGAACCGGCCACATAACTTTGGGTCCATGCCATGAAGCTTAAGGACAACAATGTGGATCGTTTGCAGAGTGAGAACAAATCAGTTAATCTCGATTCCACACAACGAGGTAGCGACAAGTTTAGCTAGTACTGTACAACAATGGTCTATAAATAACGAAAATAAATGAAGAGCATGTTTTAGGCATTATTACAACGATGTTAACCGAAGATAATATGCCATCGGACAGACGAACGATACAAGATAGAATACGTACAAGGCTTCCACGCGAACGGTGAGGGTGAACAAGGACTGGGGATAAGCAATGTATTGTACCTCAGTTTGTAACGGGTGAACCTGTTATATGCAATTGACGCCACGTTTGGTCAATGAAAATATTATCTCTATTAATTATATTTTCTAGTTTTTACTGGGAAATGTTGTTGCCGTCAAAGGCAGCATTTGGCACCGCTCCACTCACCCGATGAAAACAATAGACCACCTTTTTGACCTTAACTATCACCAATAGCTGCTAGATGCAAACATGTCGTTTATTATAGTTATAGTGAGATCAAAAGAATGTTAAATATAGAGACTGAACGATAGTACATTCAGTTCCAGTTTTTCACTCATTCAACGGACATTTTCGAAACATTCAGCCTTCCTCTGCACGCACAGTGTGCGTGATAATTCAAGGCACCTGCTTAAACTGCTTCAGTGTAGGTAGCTTGTACTGTGTCAGTACAAGCGGAGGAAGGCCCGTTTCACAGCTCTTTCGATAGTAGACTGACGAGACTAGAGCACGCCTGGACGGGTGAAGGACACTTTTGTGTATGCTAGGCAGTGTTTGCATCATGGAATTGTGGACGCAACGATAAACGAGCGAAGTCCTAGCATGCAGACGTGAGTAATGAAAGACAGACTCGTGGAGTATAATGAAATGATTATGAGATAACTCCTAGCTCGAGCAAACATGTGAGCTGATGAGCCAATGCAAAGTACAAGCTGCACGTTCGATGCTAGGTCTCGCGTCCATTGTCCATTGAATAGACATATCTATTCTCTCTCCCTTTCCAATTGTTGTCGATTTTTTGTTCACCTCCATGGACTGCTTTGTAAAGGTGCGCATAAGTTGTTTGAATAGCGTCATTAAGCGTCAAAGCATCAGACGATCAAGACGAAGAAGAGTGACAGAGACGGCGATACATAGACATGCTCTGACAGCAATAACACAACAGCGTACATACCCTTTTGACAAATTTGATGAACCATGCTTGTGGTACCATTGCATTGCCTCATCATGAAATTCACTTCTGTCGTCTAAGTCTTGGTAAAATCGCTTCTGTCGTCTAAGTCTTGGTAAAATAGCGTCGACATCGCGCGTTTACGTTTTGTCGAACAGTCTAGGCAAGTCTTTCCTAAACTGGTGTCGAGAATAATTCTCTCGATTTGCACAGCGCGGACTCCCTGTCGCCGTATCAATTTGTCGGGACAAGTGTTCGATGAGAGTTGAGTGAAAAGCAGTTCGAATGAATGTCACGTGATCAGTAACGTTAGCTGATCGAACATGAAAGTGTCTTCCGCGCTACACTTTCGTATCAAGATATGGTGATTATTTCTAAATAAGCAACTCTAAAATGAGACAAAGCATGTTTAGTACCTGTAATCTACATAAATGATCGTAGCGAAAAAGCCGAGAAAGCAAACGTGCTGAGAAGTTGAGCGGACACAAGAAATGATCGACGCACGGTAAGAAAATGCGCGAGAGACATTGCTCACATGAAAAGGTGTTTGATCAAGCTTCCTATGGTATTGTTGTGTGTCGACAGTTAATCGTTTGTGTCGTCTCTTTGGCATCCGAAAGGACTACGTAACATATCGATTAGCGCCGGTCGTTTTTCTCGAAGCGACTCGTCGAGTCTCCACCAGCTAAGTTAGCACTCGCTGAGTTCGACTCGTCGAGTCCTAGTATCTATTGACTCGAGATAGGTACACGAGAAGCGGGAGAAGCAAGGAGAGCTACACAAGTAGTGTCCATGAAAGTTAAGTCAGGTCATGTGTTTTCTTAGCCGTTAACAAAAGGGAACAAATGCTCTACTCATCCATTTACACAAGAAAGCCAAGCTGTCGAAGTGCTGACAAAACCGCTCTATTTGTTGAGTTTTCGCGATGGCACGGATCGGGTGGATCTTGCTTCTTGCGGTGGTCGATATCGCATACGAGGGAACAGATCGAAAGCTTCCTGGACATGCACATCTAACAATTTTGTATCTGCTCTGCACGTAACAGCCATATCATTCACCTGCTAGAGCCCTCACTCTATGCATAAAGACATATGTTCCGACACAAGCCAAATTTTACTTGCGATAAAGGGCCAACGATCCGCATCCTTCTTCGACACTTGATGCAGGGCTTGTATCGGATCTAGACGAAAAGTTAAATCTCGTTGTGGAAACAGGCTGAAGGCAAGAGCCTCATCTGCATTTGCACGTCGCTTGCGAGCGACATCTGGCCCTATCTTCGATGCATGCAATATCGCTGTCCTCAAATCAGAAGGTGCTGGAGTGCCCCCGAGCCACAAACGTGCCCACTTCCAACGTATATGCTCGTCCGAGATCCCAGTTTTGCTAGTCCTTAGCTGCATGGACTGAGCTGTCAGCAGCGACGTACCGATGCACATGATTTACGTGCTGACTGGCAATGGTCTGAGCGCACAAAAAGAGTACCTCGGGCCCTTGCGGTCTCTGCACACATGTGAGCAGTGTCGTTGCGAATGCAAACGCATATACGACAAGTGTTTGGGCCTTGTAGACGGTACGGCAGCGAGCAGTCGCCCTTGCAGTACAGGCTAATTTGTCCCGCTTCTAGAAGCATCTACCGCTGCAGCCAGATGCTGCTCGCGAATCCGCACTTTCGTCTGTCCACTGGTGGTGTGTTGACTCGCCGGCAGCTGCATGTGCATAGGACGGACGTGATCGAAAGACCCCGTAAACGAAGGGAACACATGTCGCCTCCAGTATCCGACAGATGAGTCGTCTTTCCATCCATGTAAAATCGCAGAGACGGATGTCGCGAAAATGATGTCTGTAGGGCTCTTGGAGAAAGAAAAATAGTGCCAGGGCCGCTTCTGCCTGCGACTCGACATCAGCACCACCACGATTTCGAGAAACCGGCTGTCACTGGATCTTTACGCTCGGGTCGGAAGGTGTCTGCACTGTCTCCAGCTTCCTGGCTCAGCTACTGTTCAGAAATGGCTCTTGCTGTCCGCGGTGGCTTTGCCTTACCGGCTGCTCCTTGCGTCTGGTTTACGTGAACATGTCCGTGGCTAGAAAGAGGTCCAACTGCTGTTTCCCGTCTCGGTCGTACCGCTTTTCCTGGATTGTGACGGTGTGGAGTTGCAAGAGAGGGCTGTCCACGCTCTGTTACCAAGTGGTCGGTGGATACACGTGGCTGCTTGTGTACCTTCCTGGCCCGCTTGAATCCCCCACGTCGTGCCTTGTGTAGATGGCGCAAGACAATGCCCCACCATAGGCTCAACTTGCTACGCCAACTCACAATGTCAGCGATATCACGGAACAAGCGCTCGATACCAGCGCGCACCCTCTGAGGTAGCGCCAGGGCCGGTCAAACGAAAAGGTGCTTGCTTGTTCCTGAGCATGTAAGCGCTGTTGTTTGCGGCCTCGTTGACTGGAATAAGGTGAACATTCGACAGTCCGTCGCGCTCGTGCAACTTTTGAGGGAAAAAACATATGCATGAGCTCTTCGTGTGGCCGGTGCGTGCCATATGCTTCGAGTGCATAGAATCGTTTTCTCGTCCCGCATTGTACAGCTTCAACGATCAAGTAGCTAGGAGGAACTCGGTAGCATACTTAGCCCCTTTGCACTTCGGGAGGGTGTGTGCTATGCCAGCGCGTATCCAGAGCTGCGCAGTGATGGGTGAACATTGACAAGTGCCCACTCTCCTGCAAGCCAGCTCGGTCTTGGGGTCTGGTACCCCCCCCCCGCGCGACAATACAAGTGCTGGTGTACACATATCTGCATTGCCGGCCTGTATCTCTCGCAGTATGCTGACGTTGGAGAAGTCTCAGAACTCGCTCAGTCGTAGGTGTGAAGAAGACGCCTCGACACACGCTGCTGCCCACGGGTGCACATAGCTCCGGCAGTACGTGACTCAGACTTGCAGAGCGTATGCAATCAGTGCGTACCATTCCCACTACGCTGTCCCCAATGTGGGAACGTCAACCAGACCAAAACGCACGCGTCCCCCGTTCCTCCCTGCACCATTCCTCAATTGTCGCGGACCAACGCAGCACGCTAAACACCACTGCCCTATTGCCATGCAACGTCACGCGCTACGCCGTGTCGCACGCACGAGCAGCTGCCGCAGCAACAGCTCCGTGGCTGTCCAGACCATGTCGGTCAATCCGCGGCCGCGACGCTTCTCCGTGCACGTCCCCGTGAAGCAGACGCACTTGTTCATCAACAACCAGTTCGTGCCGTCGTCCACGGGCGCCACGTTCGACACGTTCAATCCGGCCACGGAAGAGAAGATCGCGTCGATCGCCGAGGCGTCTCCGGCCGACATTGACGCGGCTGTCGACGCTGCACGCACTGCGTTCCACGGCCCGTGGCGCACCATCGACGCTGTCGAGCGCAGCCGTCTGTTGTTCCGCCTTGCAGACCTCATGGAGCAAAACGGCGACGAGCTGGCGCGACTCGAAGCGCTTGACGCGGGCAAACCCACGGCGCTGGCTCGTGTCGTCGACGTGCAAGCGGCTCTGGACGTGCTGCGGTACTACGCTGGCTGGGCCGACAAGATCCACGGCACTACGATCCCCATCTCGGGTCCCTACTTGTGCTACACGAAGCAAGAGCCCGTGGGCGTGTGTGCCCAGCTCGTCCCGTGGAACTTCCCAATGATTATGACGTGCTTGAAGCTCGGGGCGACACTTGCAACGGGGAACACGGTGGTGCTAAAGCCCGCCACGCAGACGTCGCTCACGGCGCTGCGCATAGCTGAGCTTGTTGTCGAGGCGGGCTTCCCCGAGGGTGTGGTCAACATTGTCACGGGCGCGGGCGGTTCCGTTGGCTCGTACCTCGTGCAGCACCCACACGTGGACAAGATCGCGTTCACGGGCTCGTCCAAGACGGGGCTGACCATCATGCGCTCGGCGCACGTCGTCAACCTCAAGCGCATGAGCCTCGAGCTCGGCGGCAAGTCGGCGAACATCATTCTCGACGACGCCGACATCGACGCGGCCATCCAGCAGTCCCAAATGGGGCTGTTCATCAACGCCGGTCAGCTGTGCATCTGCGGCAGCCGCGTGTACGTGCAAGAAGGAATCTACGACGAGTTCGTGCGCCGGTCGGCCGAAGCGGCGAGCGCCATCAAAGTCGGGGACCCCACGGACCCGGCGACCGAACAAGGGCCGCAGATCGACGGTGTGCAGATGGAAAAGGTGTTGGGCTACATCGAGTCAGGTAAGCGCGACGGCGCGCGCTTACTGTGCGGCGGCAAGCGCTGGGGCGACAAGGGCTTTTTCATTGAGCCGACGGTCTTTGCAGACGTGACGGAGAACATGGCCATTGCACGCGAAGAGATCTTTGGCCCCGTCATGTCGATCCTCAAGTTCAAGACAATCGACGAAGTCATTGAACGGGCCAACGACTCGGAGTTTGGGCTCGGGGCGGGCGTCGTCACGGCCAACTTGGACAACGCGATCAAGATCTCGAACGGCGTGCGCGCTGGCACTGTGTTTGTCAACTGCTACGCTGTGATTGACCCGCGTGCGCCGTTTGGAGGCTTTAAGAACTCGGGGCTCGGCCGCGAGCAGGGCGAACAAGGGCTGGACAGCTACTTGGAGACCAAGACGGTCATTATCAAGCGTCCGCATGACTCGATGCCATAAGAGGGTAGACAGTGAGGTACGGCGAGACAAAAGGGGGTGGCGGAGGCGAGAGGGTATACGTATACAACACGAATAAGCGTAAACAGTCAAATTGCGTCGATCGAGCGGTCGATGGAAATGATGTACGTGACACCAACAAAAGGGACCGACGCCATCGCTCGCTCGCTTCGGCTGCTGCTGCCGTCCTTCGGTTTGTAACTTTAGCGTTGGTCATGTTCTTCTGCTGCTTCTTTTTTCGACCAATCACATTGGCAAACGAGCGCTGACGTCGACGAAAGCATGAGCGATCCGTGTCGCCATGACTTGTTTTCTACCAATCACTTCGCGTGCTCGGTCAGCCGCGCCAACGAGTGGCTTCGGTCGAGTCCGCCCGCCCAGCGCCACTTTGGATTTTACACCGTTGGTCCGCCGCTGCCGCGTCTTCACGCCCGCGCTCTCCTCGCCCCTGTCCCCTCGCCCGCCTCGTCTGTGCGACACCGCCGACGCCGACCCGCGCGCTCTCTCTCTGATCTGAACTGCCCGGCGACTTTCGCGACTTGGCTACAGTGCATGCGTTTGCAAATCACGTGCGACCACATTGATTCTACAAGCAGTGCCTCGACGTGGAAGCGCAAGAGACAGGCCGAACCAGCTGGACGTTGTCGTTGCCCGGGTCTTTCCCTCCGTCACCATTCCTCGTTTCGCTCTCAACACGCGCACGTGAGCTCACGCACGAGACAGGACGAGACGCCGCTTGTTTCCCGCTAATTTGGAAGTGCGTTTTCGCCGTTCTTGGACACTGTAACTGGCGTGTGTCGACACGTGGATACTTGTGCACCATGTCGCATATGAACATTGCCGGCACGCAGCCAGTGGACGACCCCGAGTACCGCTATAAGATGCCGCGCCTGCTGGCGAAGATTGAAGGTCGCGGCAACGGGATCAAGACGCTGGTCGTTAACTGTGCGGACATTGCAGCGTCGCTTCACCGCTCGACAGCTGAAGTGTGCAAGTTTTTTGGCTGTGAGCTCGGCGCCCAGTCCAAGTACGACGACAAGACGGACCGTGCCATTGTGAACGGCGCGTTTGAAGCGGGTATGATGCAGCAGCATTTGCTCAAGTACATTGAAGGGTTCGTGCTGTGTCCTGCTTGTCGGTTGCCTGAGACCAAGTACAAGTTCAAGGGTCAGCTCATTTTCCACAAGTGTTATGCGTGTGGCGCTGTCGAGCCGGTGGACATGAACCACAAGCTCACGACTTTTATCTTCAAGGAGCACACGGCTGCCAAGCGCAGTAGCAAGGACGACAAGAAGACGAAGAAGGACAAGAAGGACAAGAAGGAAAAGAAGAGCAAAAAGTCACCGGACGAACCGGAAGACGAATCCGGCTCGAAGGAAAAGAAGGAGAAGAAGGAGAAGAAGGAAAAGAAGGACAAGAAGGACAAGAAGGACAAGAAGGACAAGAAAGAGAAGAAGGACAAGAAGAAGAAGCCGTCAGGTGCCGACGAGGACGACGAGGTAGTGTGGCACACAGATCTGTCGGCTGAGGCTGTGGCAGCTCGTGCTGCGGAGGCGGAGGCTATCGAAGCTGCGGCTGCTGCGGCCATGCAAGCTGCAGCTGCCGAAGAAGTTGTGGCAACGCTGGACAACCTTGAGGTGGACGACGAGAACGCTCTGGACTCGGCCATTTCGAACCTGCAGCGCTTTCTTTCGGAGAACCACTCGGAAGCGGAAGTTTTCGAGGAACTATGCCGCCAGCAGACTTATTCAGCTCTGCCCATCACGGACCGTCTTGTGATCTTCTTTCGCTCTGCATTCACCGAGCAGGTCCTGACAATGAACCAGGTGGCGAAGTACGCGCCCGTGCTCGAGCAAGTTATTGACAGCCAGCACGCGCAATACCAGTTGCTTGCGCTCGTCGAGCATTTTTGTGCCGTCGAGCACTCTACTTTGCTGACGTCGTTCCCGCTTCTCCTGAAGCTGCTCTACGACGAGGACTTGCTGGAGGAAGAGTGTCTCGTGACTTGGGCGAACAACGGTGTGCGTAAGGAATACGCGCACTGGGCCGTTACGGATGAACTTGCTGCGAAGCTGAAGGCCCTGATGGGGCCTTTTGTCGAGTGGCTCGAGAACGCTGAAGAGGAGAGCGGAGATGAGAGCGACGACTGAGTTGTCGACGATTGCGGTCGTGACGCGTAGTGCTTCACTTAGCACTTTACATATTCTTCCCTTGCCACTGGCCGGCACTCGATGCCTTCCGCTTTTTTCTTCTTGAATAAATTTGCTTCGCATTTAATTGACGAGTGAGTTAGTAGCTGTTATGATCCCCAGACCAGTGAGGCGTCTACTCGAAGTCTAAGCTCCACTTCGTTGTACTGCATCGTCAATGCCTCTGGCAATTGTATCTACAATCTCGCAGGTCTCGTTCTCTAGCATTACACGCGCGCACGACGATGCATTGTCTTCGTCATCGACATTGCGTCGCAGCGACGCAGCTACGTCATCGGCTGTGAACGGTGCTGTAGCCTTGAGCTTGAACATGTATTCGTGGAAGCGCAGGAATTTGCCCTGTCATGCATGTCCACGAAAAAAATCAATCACTGATCTCCTCCCGACACACTCTTCTACCAGATCAAGCCAGCAACAACACCACTTACCTTGCAAGCCGCCACGCCGATCGTAAACACCGGCTTGCCCGCTGCAATGGCTTCCGTAGTCATCGAGATCGAGTCCGGCGTCGTCACTATGCAAGACGCCATGGCCAGCAGTGCATAGTACGGATTGTGGCGTTCCGTGCCGTCCCACACGAGCACTTGTCCAGGCAGCGGCAACCTCGCATACAGTCCACGACAAATGACCTTCTTGACGTACTCGGGCGTCCGCCGTGAGAACGTCACGAGCACTGCTGGCTCGTCGTCATCCCGTAGTAGTGCTCGGCCCAGTTCGTCCACCATGTGCTCAGCCTCTTGCTCTGTAAAGGCAAAACCTCGACAAGGCCCGCCCACGAGCCACACAACGCGCATCCGTCGACCACAAAGCTTCTCCTCGAGCTCGGCGGTCCATTTGCGGCCGTGGTACTGCAACAGGCCGCGCGTCACTGCGTGAACTGTCCCTGACGTACGGTACAGATTCGTCGCACCGCCTTTTGCAAGCGGAACATCGTGGCGGGGCACTACAACAGCGTCGAACCACGAAAAGGGCACGCGCGGGTGCTGTATCTGCACGTTGAACGTCTTCGTGGGCGCTGTCTGCTTCATCGTAGCACAGAGCGCGACAGTGCTCCTCCCACAGCCAATCACGACGTTGAATGCGCGCAGATCCGAGTGCAGCGCAAGCAATGACCGCGTGCGCTCTTGGACCTCGTAGCCCCACAAGGGATTGCGCGTGACGCGAGCGCCAATCACCTGCAGGACGGGAGGGACTCGACGCGCTGTCCCGAGCGTCACGCGCACGCAGTCCATCGACAGACACCGCGCGACGGACGTGTTCTTGAGTAGACGATGACGACGCAGCTTGTCTCCGAGCGCTAGCGCCTGCTTCTCCGCGCCAGACGCGCCATTACCGAGCACGAGCACCCGCACGGTCGAACTTGCGCGGTGGCTTCCGCATCGAATTCGACAGACCATCACTCTTGTTTTTCGCGTTCGGTGGCATGAGTCAAGCAAAACCTCGTTGACCACCACGAGTCATTGGTGTGTACCACTTTGGTACGCGTACTTGCGCAGGTACGTACTTACGCAGGTACGTACTTACGCAGGTACGTACTTACGCAGTTGCGTACTTACGTGACAGCCAACCGCGAACACCCACGCAATGGCGAGAGCTTCACCGGTGGAGATCCTGCGCGCGACGCGACAGCTGCCTGTGGTGGAGAAAGAGCTTGTCTTTGGCAAACAGTCGGTCGACGTAGCTGCCTCTCTGTCCTCTGCAGGAGCTGCGTGGGGAAAGAGCCCGCGCAAGTGGGTAGCGGCCCCGTCCTCCTCCTCCTCCTCCTCTTCCTCTTGTTCCAATGTCCGTGAGTTTGGCGACGTCATGCCACACGAACTGCGGACGTTAGTAGCTGCTTCGTTCGACGCGTTTATGCGCACACAGAAACAGACAGATGATTCCTGTGCCGTCGTTGTGATGCGCGCTGGTCGCGAGTACCGTGAAGCGCTCGCGACGTGCATTGCGGCTATGCAAGACCGTCGTCGCAAGACACAAGAGCTGGATCAAGTCGTTGCAAACACAGAGAGTGACTTTATCCACTTGTTGAATGCGTCGCTAACGATCTGGCGCTTGTGTGAGCTGCTGCTGCTTCGCAGCGGAACGAGAAGAGCTGACAAGACGCTTGCATATGAGGTGGCGCAGTGGCTGCAGGAATGTTACTGTACCAAAATGGTGGAAAACGCAGAGCGGGAGAGCGGGCGACTTAAGCAGCTAGAGAAACCAGAGAATGACGTGGCGTTTTGGAGGACAGTTGAGGAGCTGGTCATGACGGGGAGTGGTGTCAGTGCCTGGGGGTTGTTGGCTTCGCACTCAAGCTGCAAGTCTTTGTTTTCTCGTGATGCGCTGTCGGTGACAGGAACGTCGACAAAGGCAGCGTTCCAAGCAGTGTACAAGTTGTTGCTGTCGATGCCGGGGAGAAACGCTACGAACATGGGCATGAATTACGACCCGCCAGCCGAGTGGAAGAACTGGAACGATGCGTGTCAGTACTTGCTCAGCACGGACGGGTACATCAAAGCCAATGACGGACTACGGACGCTGCTGGAGATTATGACGGGAAAGGAGCGTGCGTTGAAGAGCCGTGCTACCACTTGGTTCGAACTAATGATGGCGAGGCTGTTCCTCGATGAACCGAGAGCGTTTGCACACCGTTTCCAGTTTTTGATGGTCGACTGCTTTCGCGCTTACAACAGTGACGAGTCCCAGATGGATAAATTTGGATGCATCATTTTAGCCGTCATGGAGCATGACATCCAGAGCGCGTTACAGGAAATCACTGCACTTGGGCTTTCGTGGATGGCCGCGCATCTCGTCGATCTATTGCATAAAAGCAGTGTAATTGTGGCTGACGACTTGGTACCACAAACTGAGTGTACCGTGCGGGAGCATTTGCTACTGGAATATGCCATGGAGATTGGCGCGAGTAGTGGCATGTGGCAGTTTGCAGTACGGTACTATGAATTCTGCCCTAAGTTTGGAGTTGTTGCGATTCGGTCCGCGCTGGAGCGCGAACCGTTGCTAACAGACTATAAGGCTGAGCGTCTTATTACGTACTGCCATGGGAAAAAGCTTCTATCGCAGACTTCTCGCCGCGTCATGGTCCAGAGAGCGCATGAGTGCAAGGCAAAAAAGCTGTACGCATCCGCTTTACAATGGCTATTGCGTGGCAACCATCTCGACGATGTGGATGCTCTTTGTGACAATATCTTGCAAGAGTGCAACGACAGGAACTCGCTGACTCCTTTGCATGAAGCAGTTCAGTTTATCGGGGCATCTATGGAGCTCGCGCGCCCACAAAGGTTGGCATGGCTGGTACGGTATCGCGAGTTTCACATGATGTTGAACGACCGCGAGCATTTGCGGACGCAGCTGAGGAGTGTCGATGTCGGAACTAGCAAGGAGGAATGTACGAGTATGAGAACGAAACTTCGGTCTGTGTCGATGGAAACTGCCAAGCGGCTCGATTGGCTACTTTGTTCAACCGAGGCACCGAAAGTGCTTCGCTCAAACGTACTTCAACAAGCCGAGCAGTTGCTGGAGGAGACTCCGACTGTATTCAGACCGCAGCATCTATATTCGCTGATGGCGTACCTGCAGCAATTAGATCGTTCGTTTGACCGTCACGAGTTCTACAAGCTGGGTTCGAACGAGCAGCGGAAGGCGCGCATTGAAGATTTGATTTCCCGAAACCTGGCGGAAGCACTGCTTCAAGAGGCCACCGCAAGCGCTAGCAATATTGCAACGGCGAGTACTCTATGTCGTCAACCAAATGTGTCGTTGCTTGCTCAACAGCCCCATTTGACCGCCGACGCGTCTTTCACGCCCATGGAGGAATAAGTGGAGCGTCTTGTTTGGTAGATGTGAAGTCTTGCAGGAGCATTATTGGCACATCTGTTCATGTCGCTCCCGGTCTACTGGTAGCATCTGCCACAACCTGCAAAGCTGACTGCGGGTAACATGCCTCGACGGGGAAGCTTTTGCCGTTGGCGTCTGGCCGTCAGCCTCGTGCGTACCTAATGCATAGGCTATAGAGAGCACGTAACACGAGAGCCAGATGCACTGAACTGGGCGTTTCGCTACAAGGATGGTACTCGATGTTTTCTCACAACCACATATCACGTCTTTGCGTTGTGCGTTACCTTCCATCTGTAAATCCACTTGATCATTCTCGAGCATAAGACTTTGGCCTGTGCCGTCGTCCGCTTGACTTCGACGATTCTTGCAAAACAATCGCGTAGTTGTCAGCTCTTGTGATGCGTCATGCTTCTGTTGGCCAACTGAAGAAGCAACAACGCAATCGTTGAACACTTGCAGATCAATCGCCAACTGCATGTACGAGCAACAACCCCTTTTGCACTGCTCAGGAAAGAGACAATCACGCGCTTCACCGCTTCGTCTTCGATGAAGCTGCTGTGTGTTGTCGTCAACAAAGCACCGAGACCATTAGGTTAGGACTGCTTTGTCAGGTGAACAAGACTGCCCACACAAAACGCCAATGCTATTCGCAATCTCGACATCGTCATGGGCAAAGTCATGCGCTCATCAGTGCTCTGTGAGCTGTGGCTATCACTTTCTATAGGCCAGTAACACCTGCATAGTCGTGACAATCGACAGCCAAGCCCGAGTACGTGCTTTGTAGTCACCGTTGTGAATATGTGTTTGCAACGTTTGCTGCAGAAGCGTGCAATGGCTCGCGGTGTTCTGTGATCACCACACGTGTCAACGCAAAAGAATCACTCGTTTCTTCCCCGAGCACGCCCCGCACGTTGATCATGCAGACGTAGTCCCCACGCCAAACTTCCGCGCAATTTGAACTCTGTCTTTGCGTGTCTTGGACAAAAAAGCTGGTGAACGAATCCAACTTGAGGGTATGCTTCTCGTTCGAAGAAAAAGTTGTTGCTTACCAACCATGTCACGAACACCAACTTGGCATGAGCGGGTGACAATTGCACAGCCATACTAAACATCTGACGCACGCGTGCAGTAGCGATCACGGCGACGTCAAGCCTGTCGACAACACTCATGATGTTTCCACCACGCTAATCAGACGTGTTTGTGCCAGTAAGTTCGCCCTTGTGCGCCCGCTGCCTTTCGCATGGCATCCAAGATCTGGCCGTGCGCAAGTCCGTGACGAGACGACACATAAACGTCAAGCAACGACAACAACCACCAAAATGCCCATTGCTTCTGGACTCACCAGCAGGATGGATACATCTTCAGCTGCCTACAGGCAAACCGTCCACGTTCAGCGGTACCCCAACAATCTCCTCACATTCTGTCAGAAACCGAGACACGAGCTTAACCCGCACATGTTCGTTAGTACACGTCCATTGCCCACCGACGTTACTACTTGCTCTTGTCGTATACCTCGCGCTTCATATTCACGCCGATTCTTCATTGCCAGTATGGACGCAAATGTCAACAAACTAATGGCAATGTCAAACAATGCAACGTCACAATGGACTCGATGAACCAGCTTTTCTATGGAACGTCGGAAATAACATTGTTTTAGCCACATCCAATCAATAGCATTGCAGCTTCTGCTTGCAATCGATGGCCTCATCCTACCGAGAAACAGACTCTGTTTCAACAGTTATGTGGTGCCACCACAATAATATTTGAGGAACTCTTTTGGACGGTTTATACAAAGGTTGTCGGCCACACACGCGGATTCGCCATGGAGCTTGCGACGGAGCACGTGCGCTTGCTTGATGCAGGCAAGTTGCGTCTGGCGTACACTTCGCCGCTGTCCACAGACTGCTTCGCGTCAGTGGCTTCTCCGAAGACGCAGCTGCTGCAACACGGCAACACTTACGGCCTGACCTTCACGGCGACGGCGCGAGGTCCGTCGTGACGTGGATTTCTAACTTGATAATTGCTTGTCCACGTTGATAACAGTGCACTCGGACTTTGTGACCAATGCCACCAGGTTTTGTCATGACGACGAACAAGGAGCTCGAAGCTCGTTGCATTGAGTACAATCAACGACGACAGGAAGCTTTGGACCGCGGCGAAGGAAGAGCAACTATCGAGACTGACGAGCTGCCGGTATCCAGAGAGATCGAGCTGCCGTTTACTGCCTACTGGATTGCACTCTCTTCAGACGAGCTCTTGGTGGCAGTAGCATATGCGAGCTCAGTTGCATTGTTTGAAGTTGCGCACATCGTCGAGGCGGTACGATGTGACGCTTTGTACTGCTGCCACGCAAACGTCTCTTGTTCGTTCGTCCGTCATACTTAATCGCTGCGTTGTTTCGTTCTGTTGATACGTGCTCGTTCTTCCTGCAGGTGAACCCAGCGCCTTTCCACACGTTTGCCGAGCTGCAAGCACAAGAAATTGCATGGTGCTCGGACTCCAAACGAGTGGCAGTGTTGACGCTAGAAAAGCATGTGGTGGTGTGCACGCTTGACGGGGCCAAAATCAGGATTGAAACACCGACCGCCGCGTCATCCAGTACGTGTCTTGCTCGCGCGGGTATACTGCTTTTGTGCTAGTTGCTTACTATTTTCTGGATTCATCTTCTAGTGTCTTGGTCTCCATCGAAGAAGCATATCGCAGTTGGCTTAGTTGACGGCACGATTGCCGTCTTTGATCAGGACACACTTCGAATGGCTCGATCTCTTGGTCAGCCTGAATGCTGCGGTGATGCAATGTTTGCTGTTCACCATGTCAACTGGGCAGAGGAAGAGCTGATGCTGGCTGGATATTGCAAACATGATGAAAAAAACGAAGAAACGAGCGCTCTGGTTTGCATTTTTGACAACGGCAAGTGTGTGGAGCTGGACGAGGTCGTCGGCTTTTTCGACGTGGAGAATCGAAGTCATCAGTACTTTTCTACGTTCTTACGGGATTGGCGGATGTTCTTTATTGGCTGCTCTCTGAGCGCAGATATTGAGCTGCTCGTATCGGATCCGGAAGGTGGTGAGTGGGAACTGTGGAAACCCCTCGAAAAGTATCAAGCGCGCCTTCCGATGAACGCTGAGGATGAGGAATCGTTTCCCATGGGTTTTGCCCTGAATCTAAACTCGACGTTGCCTGTCCCGGTCGATGAAGACACATTTTCGCCTGTGCCCATCGTTTCGTGCTCCAGTACTGATGGGCTTCTAGTCAACTTTGCATTCGTGGACACAACTGTCCAAGAAGTCGAGTTTGTCAACACTCCGTTGCCGTTTGATAAGACAGCAACGCGTACAGCCGCGGCAGTGGTGGAGCCGAAGGCATGTGATCGCGGAGCGACGAATAAGCTCCAGAGTACATCCGACGTAACGTCAGTAGACAAAAGTGCCTCACAAAGCTCCACATTCTCACATGGTTACGGCCAGAATGACGAGAATGAGTTTGCAGATTCTGACAGTGAATCGAGTGATGAAGAAGAAGAACGCAAAGAAGAACTGGAGAAAGCTAGAACCGCGTTCCACACGATCGCATCTGATGGAGCCAGCTATATTCTTTCTGAGCACTTTCCCAAGTTGTTTAAGGCATTGGGATCTACGTACTCTGAAGACGAGCACGCAAGCACAGTGAAAAGCCTCGAGAAGGATGGAAAGGTGTATGAGGCAGATTTCGTTTCTTGGTACGTGAATTGGATTTTTGGCGACGACGACTTGGAGTCGGACGATGAGACAAACGCACCTGCATTGTCGGCGACAGAGCCCGTCAAAATGAAGTCTAAGGACGAAATCACAGCGGCATTCTCGAAGTTTACGACCAAGGAAGGAAGCTGGAAGTGCGATGTGTGTATGGTTGGCAACGACCCGGAGGCGGTCAAGTGTAGTGCCTGTGAGGCTCCAAACCCTGCTGCGCCTAAGGTCAAGACCCCTATAACGACGACGAGTGGCATGTCTACAGGCACGATTGGTTCGGGTGGGTTTTCGTTCCCCGTTTCTGCAGAAGATGCCTCGAAACCACCATCATTTTCCTTCGCTGCATCCCCCGGTGCAGCAATATCCGGCGCAAGCAATTTTGGCGGGTTCACGTTTGCTGATACGGTGCAAACATCGGGGGTCAGCTTTCCGAGCAGTACAATCGCATCTGGAACAGGTTTTAGTTTCCCATCTACCGCGACGTCTTCGACCGGCATGAAAATTGACCTGCATCGCGATAGCTCTAGCGATGATGTGAGCAAGTTGCCGTCAAGCACCGGTGTTGTCGAGCAGATTGCGTCGCACGAGTATGGTCAAAGGAGTGAGCACCGGTATGCAGAGTCTGATGGTGAGGAGAGTGACGATGAGAAAGAGATAAAGGAAGAGGAAAGTAACGCCAGAACCGCATTTCGCTCTATTGCGCAAGAAGGAACTGATTGTATCACCGCAGATCAATTCCGAAAGCTCCTTGCCAGTTTGAAATTAACTCATTCCGACGAACAGCGTGCTAGCACCCTCAACATCTTGGAAAAGAATGGAAAGGTGCATGAAGCCGATTTCGTTTCGTGGTACGTCGGTTGGATCTTCGGCGATTCTGATTCCGGACATGATTCAAATTCGCTCTCATCCTCCCCGACACAAAAAGCAAACAACGGTTACGGCCAGAACGACGAGAATGAGTTTGCAGATTCTGATAGTGAATCGAGTGATGAAGAAGAAGAACGCAAAGAAGAACTGGAGAAAGCTAGAACTGCGTTCCACACGATCGCATCTGATGGAGCCAGCTATATTCTTTCTGAGCACTTTCCCAAGTTGTTTAAGGCATTGGGATCTACGTACTCTGAAGACGAGCACGCAAGCACAGTGAAAAGCCTCGAGAAGGATGGAAAGGTGTATGAGGCAGATTTCGTTTCTTGGTACGTGAATTGGATTTTTGGCGACGACGACTTGGAGTCGGACGATGAGACAAACGCACCCGCATTGTCGGCGACAGAGCCCGTCAAAATGAAGTCTAAGGACGAAATCACAGCGGCATTCTCGAAGTTTACGACCAAGGAAGGAAGCTGGAAGTGCGATGTGTGTATGGTTGGCAACGACCCGGAGGCGGTCAAGTGCAGTGCCTGTGAGACTCCAAACCCTGCTGCGCCTAAGGTCAAGACCCCTATAACGACGACGAGTGGCATGTCTACAGGCACGATTGGTTCGGGTGGGTTTTCGTTCCCCGTTTCTGCAGAAGATGCCTCGAAACCACCATCATTTTCCTTCGCTGCATCCCCCGGTGCAGCAATATCCGGCGCAAGCAATTTTGGCGGGTTCACGTTTGCCGATACGGTGCGAACATCGGGGGTCAGCTTTCCGAGCAGTACAATCGCATCTGGAACAGGTTTTAGTTTCCCATCTACCGCGACGTCTTCAACTGGACTACAATCTTGTGCTGCTGAAGACTCGATTGTTGATCCGTCTAGTGCTAGCAAGAGCAGCTATCCTCCGGACACGACGTCGCAGCCGAAGCCTCCTACGTTTGGCACTGCTAGCAAGAGCAGCTATCCTCCGGACACGACGTCACAGCTGAAGCCTCCTACGTTTGGCACTGCTAGCAAGAGCAGCTATCCTCCGGACACGACGTCGCAGCCGAAGCCTCCTACGTTTGGCACTGCTAGCAAGAGCAGCTATCCTCCGGACACGACGTCGCAGCCGAAGCCTCCTACGTTTGGCACTGCTAGCAAGAGCAGCTATCCTCCGGGCACGACGTCGCAGCCGAAGCCTCCTACGTTTGGCACTGCTAGCAAGAGCAGCTATCCTCCGGACACGACGTCGCAGCCGAAGCCTCCTACGTTTGGCACTGCTAGCAAGAGCAGCTATCCTCCGGACACGACGTCGCAGCCGAAGCCTCCTACGTTTGGCACTGCTAGCAAGAGCAGCTATCCTCCGGACACGACGTCGCAGCCGAAGCCTCCTACGTTTGGCACTGCTAGCAAGAGCAGCTATCCTCCGGACACGACGTCACAGCCGAAGCCTCCTACGTTTGGCACTGCTAGCAAGAGCAGCTATCCTCCGGACACGACGTCGCAGCCGAAGCCTCCTACGTTTGGCACTGCTAGCAAGAGCAGCTATCCTCCGGACACGACGTCGCAGCCGAAGCCTCCTACGTTTGGCACTGCTAGCAAGAGCAGCTATCCTCCGGACACGACGTCACAGCCGAAGCCTCCTACGTTTGGCACTGCTAGCAAGAGCAGCTATCCTCCGGACACGACGTCACAGCCGAAGCCTCCTACGTTTGGACGCGAGACAATGCCTGATAAGACTACATCGTCGTCCTTGTTTACTGTCGGTACGAAAACGATTGGTTCGCAGTCGAAGTTGTTCGCACCAGTGGATAACTTGGATAGCGCCGTCGCTCCAGCAGAGTCGAAATTTCGATGGGAAAGTGCATTTGGAGGCGGTGTGGCCACAAAGACAGCAGGTAGCACCTCGTCGTCACCATTCGGCTTAGTCCCAAAACCCGTTTCGCAGAGTGCGTTTTCATTTGGCTCAGCGCGCGCGAGTGGATCAACGGATTTTGCCGGAAAAAGTAACGCAGCACGGCCAAGCTTATCGTTCGGCAGTTGGTCGTCAGCGCTGGATACAAGTAAGGAGCATGACATCCTTGAGGACCAAGTTCCGACGAAGCGTACGCTGAATTTTGAAGATTATCGCGCTCTTGAAGCAAAGACGACTTCCGTTCTAGTGCCAAAGGAGAGTGCGATACCGCCTGTTGGTCCCGCTGAGTCAGGCATCAGTATTCCTTCGTCACATATGGAAGGCCAATTGTGGAAACTGATTGTGAATTTTGACAAGTCTCTTCAGCGGGTGAATCAGAACTCGACGAAAATACTGTCAAGCGATCCCGAGTTCTCAATAAATTGTGTGGCGAGAATAGACAAGATACGCATTCAAATATCCGAATTCTGTACGACGATCAACGACCTCGACGAGTTACGGGACCAAATCGAGAAGGATGTCCTATATGTGATCGGAAGTGACGGTGACGTGCACGAGCAGCTTGAGTACAGCCGCGAAATGCTGAACAGCTTTAACGACGAGGTTCTCAAGAGAGCCCTGGAAATACAACCTCTCGATCAGCGATCCCAGCAAACTTGGGACTCGTTGAAGCTGAAATTAGCTAAGGTCAAAAAGTGCTGTCTCGAACTTGACAGTTATCTCTCGTCGTCGAAGATCGGCGCGGACGAACTTGGTGCTGAGTCTTCAGCGCATCTGTTCCGTGTGTTGAAGCAAACATACGACAAATCGAAGATGCAGTACAATGAAGTGTGTAAGCTGGCTGAGTATCTGAAAGAGCTGAGGATGGGCAGCGACCGTGCGTATCAAACTAGTGGTGGGATCACTGCTATCGAAAGTGAAGCTCCTTCTACAGCAACCAAGGCGGATATGATTCAGATGATCGTGGAGACTGAGGAACGTCGTCAAGCTGTGCGTCGCAACTTTTTGGCTTTATGCAATAATGTAGTTACTCCTCGTGACGTAGTCTCGACACCGCGGCGGAAATTGGCCCCTCTTACTCCTTCAAGCTCTTCGGCGTCGCCGCTTCTTGCCAAAGCCAGTAGCAAGCTGATGCCAAAGATGCGCTTGAGCGTTGCTTCTCCGCTGAGCTCAGCCAAGCAGTCGCCAAAATCTGCTTCATTCAAGAACACTCCCATCAAGTCTGGATCGAAGCTGTCGGCGTTGGCAGAAGCTATGGTGCCGAAAGAGGAGGCCGCCAAGTTGGTGCAGACCCCACATTCAACAAAAGCAATCGTGGGTGTCGGTAGAGCGCCTCAGAGACCGAGTCTGAGAGTCCCGCCTGCTGAGAAGAAGCCTGCATCGACGACATTTTCTACTGCGCGGTCATCCAACGCAGTTGGTTTTCCGAAGTCTTCGAAGGAAACTGCGACTTCCGTAGCAGCTCTCGCCAAGACGGACGATGCAAAGACTGCAACAGGTTCTCCGTCGAGCGAGCCCGGAGTCAATGTACCCATAGTAAAGGCGAAACCCGGAGCTGACGCCAGACCGACTGCTGCGTCTTCTCCCGGAGGAACAGACTCATTTCCAAAGTCCTCTTTCACCTTCGGCTATGGATCAAGTAACGCGAAGGGTGCCACACAGCCGCTTTCTACAACTCCTGCTGCGGTGGACTACAAGGCCCTGATGGAAAAGTTCTACAAGGTCCACAATCCATCAAAAATTGACGGAGGCATGATGGATAAGATTCTGACAACGTACAAGGGCAAGGAGAAAGACTTGTTTGCTCGTCTCTTTAGCATGTATGTCCCCGATTCGACGCCCGATGATGTGGCCAAGTATCTACACGGAGGTCCGGTTCCCCCGAAATCCGAGTCCGGGGCAGCGGCTTCGAAACCTGTCACGCCAGCAGCTAAGAGTCCGTTTGTCGGGTCATCTTCCACTCAAGCAAGTCCGTTTACGGCATCTTCGGCTCAAGCAAGTCCGTTTGGGACATCATCTGCTCAGGCAAGTCCGTTTGGGGCTCCTCCTTCGGCATTCAGCCTCAATCCTGCCACAAACATGTCGTCTGGTTTCGGTGGCTTTGGATCTTCCACGGCGGTCTCTTCGTTCACTACGCCGGCATTCCCGACGCCTACTTTTGGCAAGCCAGCTGTCGACTATCGTCAGAAGCTGGTGGACTTTTACCAGAAGTACAACCCGAGCAAGCTCAGCAGTGTGGATGCCACGTTGCAGAAGTACAAGGGGAACGAAGAAAAACTCTTTCAGAATTTGGCTACCAAGTACAGGGTGGATGTCTCGAACGTGAGTGGTGCGTGCGTTCCGCCTGCTAGTCCAGCTATGCAGCCTACCAAGCCGAATGCGGCAGCAAGCCCTTTTGGCAAACCAGGAGCATTTTCAGTCCCGAGCACTTCGAGTGGACCAACATTTGGGTCTACTAACTCAGTCGGTTTCGGTGGAGCAACGCCATCCCCAGTGGCGTCTCCGTTTGGTGCAGGATCGACCCCAGCTTCGTCTCCATTCGGAGCTATCCCCTCTCAGCCCGCCAGTGGTTTCGGGTCTGCTGGCGGAATAGGATTCGGTGGTGGGTTTCAATCGACCATTGCTACGAACCCCTCTCCATTTGGAGCAACAACGGCCGGATTCGGAGTTGCTCCGAGTGGCGGATTCGGAGCTGCTCCGGGCGGCTTTAACTATCGTGAGAAGCTTACAGCTTTTTACCAGCAACACAACCCCGCTAAGCTAGGCTCTGTCGATGCGACGTTGGAGAAGTACAGGGGCCGAGAAGACCACCTCTTTGCAATGCTGGAGCAAAAGTATATGAGGAAGGCGCCGATGACAGCCCTGAGTACAGGAGGCTTTGGTATTCCTAGTACCTCAACGTTTGGTGGTGGTGGTGGTGGTGGCGGGTTTGGCGCACCATCAGGCTTGGGGGTAGCAAGTCCTACTCCTGCATTTGGTTCGGCTTCGGCATTAGGAGCCGCCGCGCAGCCTGTCTTTGGTGGAGCTGCAGGCATGGGCTTCGGCGGAATGGCGTCGCAAATGAGCGGGGGATTTGGTTCGGCTGCTCCTGCTGCGGGCGCTGGCTTTGGTTCTCAGCCCCCAGCGTTTGGTATGGCTACGCAGCAGTCTAGTGGCTTTGGTGCTGCTGCCCAGAACAGTGGTGGTTTTGGCTCTGGTTTCGATGGTGGTGCAGCGGCCGGCAGCTTTGGCAAACCAGCTGCATTCACGAGCGCGAGCTTTACCCAGATGCGGTGAGTGCAATATGAAGACCGCAGACAGGAGGCCTTTGAGGCGCCGTGGCTCGAAACAACAACGCCAGTAGGTAGATAAGATGCAGTGGATACCGTGGGCTTCAAGGTGCGTGTCGTCCGTTAGTTACCGGTTTCCACCGATCTGTTCGGCAGTGGCTGTCAACCAGTCGTTTCGACGATTGACGAGCTGCAGCGCAGCAGAACGATTTATCATTGATCAACTAGCTCGACAAAGCTCAATTGCTCGACAGTATCCATTCGTAGACGTTTTGCATTCCCACCGAGTGGCGGAGAGCCCCTTCGTGGCTCAACGTGACCTCGCAGTCGTATTTGCGACAGACTTGGCGTTGCTTCCCCGTGCTGCCAGGTCTTACAAGCGACTGCAATAGTAAATGTTAACACCAGCAACCCGTCCCGTTGAGTTCGCGGCCTTGTTTCTCCCAAAAGGGCCGCGCAATTACGGATGAAACATCTCAAAGACAGTATGAACATAGCAAGCGTAGTAGCATGTGTAAGAAAACGAAACACTCGGTGTATTGTAAAAGCGGACGCAGGCTCAAACCGAGACACGGAGTCGAAGAGGCAGGCAAGCCCATGCTCTTGTCACTTGTACTACGGCCCATACGATGCCATGGTGCCAGCAAAGTCATCTCGATGCATTGCACCTTTTCCTCATGTAGCCACTTTACAGGTTCTCCGGTCGCGCTTCGGCCGCGGGACAACGACACGAAACAGACGCTGTTGTCCTGCATCCAGCAGTCCACGCGTCCTCCTGTGCAGCACTTGATCCGCTTACGCTTCTTCGCACCATTTGTTCTCCTCGCGAATCTGCGCTTCTTCCTCGGGCGTAAAGTCATTGACAATGTTGAACGTGTCGCGAATCTCCTGCGGGGTCTTGCCCTTGATCATGCTCGCGACCTTGGCACACGCCAGATCCAGCAGACTCTTGATATCCATGTAGTTGGCAGCCAAAATGAGCTCAAACAGAATCTCCTGCTCAATGTCCACAAAGTTGGCGTCCCAATCCGACACGACATCGTGCATATCAGCGCTCTTGAGAGGCTGCGCACCAACACACCAGCACCATTGCACACGTGCACATGTTAATCTCCAGCGTCGACTGGTCAGGTATACATCAGCCCACGGAGGCCTCGTGCGTATACATCGGCCCACGGAGGCCTCGTGTGTATACACCCACCCACGACCGCACCTTTTCAATCTCCCGCATCGGATTGTTCTGGTGGTGGCTGCAGAACTCAATCACCTTCGACAGCACAGGGCTCTTGACGTTCGGCAACGGGATCTCCTGCACCTCGTCGTCGTCCGTGTCGTCTGCACCACAAGTTTCGTCATCCACAACACACAGTAAGTAGTAGTACACAGACCGCAGTCGTCGGCATTATCCTCCAGTGCTTGCGCTTCTCGTCAGTCATTGGCCAATAAACAGCGTACCCGAAATCAGCGTCTTGACCAGTTCGCTCATTGCGGCGACGCCGCGCGACACCTCAAAGCTGTCGCCGTCCATCGACACGAGATTGACCTTGCGCACGTCCTCCTCCTTCATCTCCTGCGTGGGGGCACTGGCGTCCGACATTGCGAGTCCCTTTTCGACTGGTTCAACTGGGCCCCAACACGTCGGAAGGAGCTCTGGACTCGACTTTTGGTTTTGGAGACTGGAGGAGAAAGAGGTGAGAAAGAAAGAAAGAAACGTCGTTCGTTTCTAAATCTGCGGTGGAAACAGACACATACGGGAAGACGCTTTGTTCGTTTACGAACGCGGACGGAAGTTACATGGACGTGTGTGTGTGTGTGTGTGTGTGGGGTCCACACGATCTCGCGCCTGTGCGGCACGTTTCTAACGGCATTTGGCTTTCGGTGTCGAAATATACGCTCGTGCGACCAGCGCGACGCAACACATATTCTAGTCAAGAGGTCGCTGCATGTTTACCATATTCTCATCCGGCACGAATGTTGCTGATTCGCTCTGTTTTAGGGTGCTCCAACTGCGATGGTGGACGCTGTCAAGGCGAATCCAAGCTGCAGCAAAGTGCGAATGAGCGCGATGGAAAGTGGAAGAAAGACACGAAAGGATGCGAAGAGTCGTGACCGCGTATGCTCTTTCTTGTCTTGCATGTGGATACACAACAAACATTACAGAGACAATCTCTAACTCACAACAACGAAATGTCGATCGAGCAGCATAGCGTTGACTTTATGCCAAGTTTACTCGACAGGTGTGCTGCTTCTGGACGCTGCTTCACACACTAATTCTGATTGGAATCTGCTTGACACATGATATTCTCCACGGAAGATTGTCGTGGTGCGCTGCTCGAAAAAGGCTGCAGCTAACACGCATCGATATGACGAGTATATTGGCGCACGTACCCACATTCCTCCTTGTCGTACAATTCGACGAATTCGGCATGAGTTGCTTGTTCAATCGGTACTGCAGTACAGGGAGCGACAAAGCCTTCGAAGTGATAAACGTCCGGCTATCAATGAAGTTGCAGCTTACGGCACCCACAATTGGAGACGGTCAATATACGTCAGCTCGGTCAACGTGTAAGCAGGTCGTGCTGCCGGGTTCTACATCGACTGCGACGACGACGTTTGCTAGTATGAAGTCAGGATCCGATTCTACGGTTCCGTTGAGCATGTTGACCATCTTACATGTCATGTACCTATCGGAGGACACGTACGCAGCTTACAATACTCCGCTACACATTCTGCACACTCGCTCGTCTACGTTACTGCTTCTTTTTACCACAAAATACAACCTGAATGTAGGGTCACTAATGAAATAAGCCCACACCCGCACATCATGTCGTGTTGCTGATATGTCAACGCCACGACACGAACTGTGATCGCAAACGATGTGTTCGTTGTAGCTATCTCAGTATCGTTGTGCTGTTGCGCTGCCAAACAAATGGCCCCTTTATTTGGGAAACCGCCTTGACACTGCTGCGGCAAGTCGTTAGATGCGCTCTCCGGTCTCCAGACAAAAGATCGTCGTTAAAGCTTCACAACATATGACGAGAGCTTCCAACCTCCCAAACAACAGTGTTTAAGACCAAATTGGGACGACATTTGCTTGTGAAGTGCGTCCGCGCTTCATGACCTCGACCCACGTACGTCGGAGGCGCCATAGGTTTTTCGATGGCGATAAGTGAAGTATTCCGCTCGCATCGTTTGACACCATCATAAGTGGATGAAGAGGGAAGATGGTACAGGCAAACGGTCCTCAAACCATGGGGTCCGCAAGTCGTACTTGCGTTCTAAGTCCAGTCCTATTGGAAGTAGGTTGCAACAAATGCTAATTGACGCAGCACACCAAACTCTGTCGAGCAAGTCACATTTTTTTCTCTACGTGCGAATGGAATCGACCGCTCGTTAGCTCGCCGAGATCTGCTCGCGGTCAGGTCGACGTAACAGTCGCATCATGCGTTACGACATTGTCGGTGTCAGCTTTCCATTCCGCTTCCACGCTGATCGAAGCTGACCGACGCAATGAGGAGAAACAGAGAAGCAACAATCAGCGCTGCCTCTGACAACCTTTGGACTCGGTGAATGGAAATTCCTACATTTTGGTGGAGGTAAGACCTGACCGGCCGATCATCGTACAAGAAGTTTACGCAAACCGCGTCAACTTCGTTGATAAAAGCAGACGGTAGCAAACAAGGGCATCGCCGTTTTTTCATCAAGCAAGCAACACCCATGACACGACAGGAAATCGACCACAGGGTAGCTGACCTTCCGGCTTCCCTACACGCTCATCATTCATAGGATAGTGAATAGCTTTGATACGTGTCGAAAGAAGGCGTGCGAGAGACACTTTCCCTGCTTTTTCCATGTGGTCTGAATGTTTATGGGAAGCTGCAGGTGTGTAGCGAATGTACAATCTCTCCTTATACTTGACGATGCCTCGTCGCATGTCACGGATGACATGAACCTAGCCAATGTCAGTGCTAGATGTCAGTGATCTTCCCGTTTCGCCAGACGGCTGCCAAGAGCTAGCGGGTGAATGCTGGTGATACGAAGCATCCGAGCAGCAGATACAACCGCAATCGTTGCCGAACGCAATCGATGGCAACGAGCGTATGAAGGACTGCATCGATTACAAAGTCAACCAACTGAAGGCCATGTGACGGTCGGCAGACACCTGGACTAAGATCCAGCTACTTTTATTGTCACTTGCATTTAGCTCACAACATTGCTTGTCGTGCCTCAAGAACTGCGTGTCTCGCCAACTACCACGGACACGAAAAGGAACATGTATAGTTTGAGGGATCATGATGACACGGAGATTGAGCTGGAGCAGGAGCTCGAAGGTAAGGCCAACGAGATGCGTGCCTGACATTTCTGTTGATACTCGAGTTTCATGTCGTGTCGAAGAGGATGAAAGTGCTCAACTGGAACATCGAGGACAAGATTCAAATAGAGGCTCGTAGGGTAGAGGAAAATGATGGACCGATGAATATGTGACACTGCCACGGACAGGTTCACCGAGACAGTTAGATCAAGTTTCTACGCAATGCATGCTACAAGCTCTGCTCGATGTATCCCAGAAAGTCAACGGGCTGCTTATCAAGTTTTTTGCAACCTTCAGCTTACTATTTGCAACGCTTGCAGCACTCAGACTACCTCTGTCTTGGGATTGAAGAGGGTGCTGCCGACAAAACTTGACTTTATTGACGAAGGGGATAGTGATTGTGTCACGTATCGTGCTACGCTGCAACAAGCGAAAAGCAAAACATCTCCTTTTTATTCGTTGTATCCCACTTTATCCAGCTATTTGTATCCTTTACAACAATGCAACGGTAGAACAGAATGGTAGGCGCCAAACTCGAGCAAACTTGTTGCAGATGGTAGTCGAATAAATGACACCTTATCGAAGAGAGCGGTGTGTGCGCGGACAGCGTTTTGCTTTTGAGTGGGTCGTTCGCCCTTTTGTGTCCGTCCAGATTGTCGCACTCATCAATCGAGCAATGTCGACGATTAAACTCG